GGTGCTACTGCGGAGGGTGCGGAGCCTGGGGGTGCTGAGCCGGGGGGTGCTGTGCCTGGAGGTGCTGGGTCTGGGGGTGCTGGGTCGGGAGCTGCTGAGCCTGGGGGTGCTGAGCTGGGAGCTGCTGAGCCTGGGGGTGCTGCGTCTGGAGCTGCTGAGCCTGGGGTTTCTCCTGCTGCTGCGTCTCGCCGGGAGCCCCTCTCTCCACAGGAGCTGCGCGAGTGGTTCGCTCGCCGCTGGAGGCGTGCTGCTGAGTCTGGAGGTGCTGCTGGAGCTGGAGCTGGGGCTTCTTCGACCGTCGAGGGTGCGGGTGCAGCCGGTCCCGGAGCTGCTGGCCCTGCAGGTCCTTCTGGAGCTGGAGCTGCTGAGGGCGTTCGTGCTGAGCCTGCTGCTGTTGGTCCTGCCGCTGGAGGTGTGGGTGGCGCTGGTGCTGTCGCTGAGGGTGCTGGTGCTGTCCCTGCTGAGTCTGGAGCTGCCGCGCGGCCTCGGCCGTACTTCGTTCCGCTCCTTCAGCAGGTTCTTGGTCTTTCTCCTCCAGTAGAGGGTCCACCGCCTGTCCAATCGCAGCCCCTACTGGAGCCTTCCTCTCCACTGCCTGCTCCCTCTCCTTAAACTGGTCCTACTGGAGGTCTTGCTGAGCGTCGTGAGCCTGCGTCTCGTCCCGCGTCGCCTGTTCGTGCTGCTCGCGCTAGTGGTCGCAGTTCGCGTCAGCGTCCTCCTCCTGTCCCTGGCACGCACCGGATGTCTCTGCGTCCGTCCACTGCTCCTCTGCGTGCCCCTTTGCCTTCTCCTCCTGAGTCCTCTCTTCCTGCGCTTGCGGACCCTGAGTCGGACTCTCTTCGTGCTGCCTGTCCCACTGTCACGCGTCTGCTTGCTACTGTCGTCACTGACCCCTCTTTTGAGTCCACTACTGCGTCTGCTCTAGTCGCTGAGCTCGTCGACTTTGCTGCTCGCTGTCGTCTCGACTACGCTGCTAGTCTTGTTGCTGAGTCTGCGTCTGTCTGTCCTCCGTCCGTCGGGGGTGAGTGTGCTCTTGGCACGGACGTCCTAGAGGACAGGCAGGAGGAGTTACAGTGTCTAGCGGCTGCTTCACCTCATCTCGCGTCTGTACTGCTTGCCCCTGAGGGAGACCCGGATGCACTAGACATCCCGACTCCGCGTTCTTACGCGGAGGCCGTAGAGGGTCCCTACTCCTCTCAGTGGCAGGCAGCTATGGATGCAGAGATGGCTTCCTGGAAGTCCACAGGCACCTACGTTGACGCGGTTCCCCCTCCTGGGGCGAACATCGTTAGTGGCATGTGGATCTTCAGGGTGAAGCGGCCGCCGGGCTCTCCACCTGTCTTCAAGGCACGGTACGTTGCTCGTGGCTTCAGTCAGCGGCAGGGAGTTGACTACTTTCAGACCTTCTCTCCCACCCCGAAGATGACTACTCTTCGGGTGCTGCTGCACATAGCCGCTCAGCGCGACTACGAGCTTCACTCTCTCGACTTCAGCACTGCGTTCTTGCAGGGTAGCCTGCACGAGGAGATCTGGCTTCGCCGTCCACCTGGCTTCACTGGGACTTTCCCTCGTGGCACCCAGTGGAGCCTCCGACGGCCAGTCTACGGTCTCCGCCAGGCACCGCGTGAGTGGCACGACACACTGAGGACTACGCTTGCGGCTCTTGGGTTTGCTCCTTCTACTGCTGACCCGTCGCTGTTTCTTCGCACCGACACTTCCCTGCCGCCGTTCTACATCCTCGTGTACGTCGACGACCTGGTCTTTGCCACAGCGGACACTGCTGGACTCGCCTACGTGAAGTCCGAGCTGTTGAAGAGACACACGTGCACAGACCTGGGTGAACTGCGCAGCTACCTTGGCTTGCAGATCACTCGGGACAGAGCACGCCGCACCATTACCTTGACTCAGTCACACATGGTGCAGCAGGTCCTTCAGCGCTTCGGCTTCACGTACTCCTCGCCTCAGGCCACTCCTCTGCCTACTCGCCACTCACTCTCAGCTCTGCCTTCGGATGAGTCCGTAGAGTCGAGTGGTCCGTATGCGGAGCTTGTTGGCTGCCTCATGTACCTGATGACCTGCACACGACCTGACCTTGCATACCCTCTGAGCATTCTTGCACGCTATGTTGCTCCTGGGAGACACAGACCGGAGCACATGGCTGCAGCGAAGAGGGTATTGCGCTACCTGTGCAGTACGTCAGGCATGGGGCTAGTGCTTGGAGGGCGGAGTCCAGTGGTCCTTACCGGCCACGCGGACGCTTCTTGGGCTGACGACCAGGCTACGCAGCGGTCGTCACAGGGTTACACCTTCAGCCTTGGTTCCGGCTCTGTCTCGTGGCGGTCTACTCGCTCGTCTTCGGTTCTCGGCTCCAGTTGTGAGGCTGAGATCTACGCCGGGGCCATGGCTGCACAGGAGCTTCGCTGGCTCACCTACCTGCTGACTGACCTTGGAGAGCCGCCTCGTTCTCCTCCAGTGCTGTACGTAGACAACAAGGCTATGCTGGCCTTGTGTCGAGAGCAGCGCTTGGAGCACAGAACGAAGCACATTGCTCTCCGCTACTTCCTTGCTCGTGAGCTGCAGCAGCGTGGTCAGTTGCGACTTGCGTACGTGGCCTCTGAGGCCAACACTGCTGATGTGTTCACCAAGGCACTTGCGCCTTGTGACCATCAGCGCTTCTGCACCCAGCTGGGTCTTGTGCCTGTCTTGCCTCACTTGCTCTCCTCTTGACTTCACTTGTACTGTGACATATATATATACCTGCTCTTGCTTGTCTAGCTTTATATATATGTCTGTACCCTTGCTTGTGAACTGGCCTTTGGCCTTGCTCTTGTGCTCGGACTGTGTGGGGACTTTGTGATCCACCCTGAGCTTTGCTTTGTCTTGCTTGACTGGTCTTGTGACCCCTTGTTCTCCCCCACTTTGCCTATGGGGGTGTGTCAGAACATATCTATAGCTTATACTGCTGTGTAGGCTGTAGTGGGGTATCCCATAGGGGGTACAACCCAGTTAGGGTTTCATATTTGTACTGCTTTCGTTCATAGTTCATTCATTCCTGTTTTCCTATTTTCACAAGGGGCTCGTTTGGCTTTTGCGTAGACGAACTGAGGTTTCGTCTGTGTTTTCCAAACTGCTTGTCACAAAACTCGCCTATCGTTACCCAATCACATCCGCTTTAGCCCAACTAAGTGTAATACACTAGGAAATTTGAGACGCGGGTTTTAAGGGTTGATTCCTTCCGAGTCGCATGCGTTTCCAATTGGGTTTTATATTTTTTGCCCGTTTTTTGTCAGGTGTGTTTCGATCTGTATTGGCAGTAAGGCTGCGACAGGTGTGGTTGGACGATGAGTTTGTGCGAGAGCTGCGCTAGCTGGTGTTAGTCACATGGGTAGCATCCACTGACGAACAGTGGTTTTCGTGGCGGAGGAGTAATAACAGAGGGAGAAACATGACTAAGTTGCATGCACCTGGGCCCAGTTCGGCAGGCATTCTCGCCATTATCGCCATTATGGGCATTTTCTACGGGCCCCCAAAAAATGGCCCCAAGAAACAGACTGTAGTTGCAATGAAACTTCGTAAAAATGGGCCCGAGTGTTCGGTTGGCATAAACTGAGCCAAGATTAATGGCATCAACCGAAAACGACACTTCGGAGAAGCCTGTATACAGCCGCGCTGATGGAGCGCAGAATCACTGTTCTGGCAACCTGGGCAGCTCTGCAAACCAGCGGTAGACGTCGAAAAAAATCGGCGAAGGGAAACTGTCCTTTCGATGTGTTAGTGATGGTATGTTGGTGATGTGCGATTTTCCAGTGGGCACGAAGAGGGGTGAGAAAGACCGAGAATTGTTTTTTTCAGGGCAAGGTGTGATTGCCCCGAATCAATGATCCCCCGCATGGTGCGGGACCTCGAGGCCGCATGGTGCGGCGGATGAGAAAATGGACAGTTTGCCTGAGAAATAGGGTTCGAGGAAGGTTCCACTGGTGGAAAATGCCAGCGTTAAAAGGGGTGTTCGGCTGGCATTCCATTATTGTCTGGTTCGGCAATCATCCGCTTATGTCGAGCTTAGATAACATTTCACGCGCTTATCAAAGAATGCTCCAGGGTGGTCGGTTTACTGTAGCCCAACCGGGGAAACCGTTTTTTTAATGCCTGCCGAACCGGGCCCTGAAAGTAGCCGGAGAAAGTGCGCTGCACTGTTCTTTCCTTCACATTTTCTCGGCATTATTCTGACTTTGTCAGAATGCGGCAGCACGAGAGACGGCTACGATCGCGACCTTGAAATCGACGTCCATGAGCAGCCGTTATTGAATCTTGCATCAGACTGTTCCCTCCAAAATCGCATCAGCATTCAACCGTCAGATCTTGTCCTGCCTGATCGACGGCCCACATTCCAACTTCTCCCTCATTTTGGGCCGGCTCAACCGCGTCCATCAGATCGAAATCTGACTACATCGACAGCCTTAGTTCCAACCTTTCTTCAAATTGGTTGAAGGCAATTTCAGCCGTCCGATTCACTTAGGCTTGCTAATGTGGGACTCATTTCACTACACAGCTGCCTTATTTAGGAGGTGGGAGAGTGTAGGATATACAAATCCTTACTGAGGCACTCGTTAGCGAGGTCATTCCGAGGGTGGTGCGATGAACCTGTTCGGCCAAATTCGTCGCACCGAACCACTCCCGAGTCGGCCCCGCTCCAATCGCAACCATCACCAAGCCATCTTCGCCCTACATCTTCGCCTAGCTAGGATTTCCCCTATTTAGGCCTCGCTACTTTCATTGGGTCGTCTTTTGAGTTCATTCTAGAATATTCGTTATTCTGCAGACTCTGCAAGTTCATTCATAACATAAGTACAACTAACACACTCCTGCCTGCCGCATTACCTTCCGCACGCCCAGCTTTCCTGCCACCGCCATCCGTTCCTTCTCTTCTCTTCCTCGCAGCTTTCAGCACGCACTCCCCAATCTCCCGCCTTCGGCCCGCCAGCGGCTGCCGGGTGGGCGGCATGCTAGGCGCGGCTGTGGGGTCGCGCGTGGCGGTCGTGGTGCGGGGAGCAAGCCCCGCTATTGCTGCTCGTGTAGTTGTCATCCGATTAGCCGCGAAGCCAGCAGCAGCCATCGAGAGACGCTCGGGGCCGGCGTTTATTCGCACCATGTTGCTCACCAGCAGCGGCACTGCCTACAGAATACAAATCCCCACCAACGCACCTGCATTTCTAAAACGAACGCCGTTCAGAGGTCCTTCTCCGCGCAGGCCCCCATCTTCTTCGTTCTCGCATTCGCGCCACCCCCGCGATCGAGAGCAACCATTTTCCCATTCACCACCGCGCTCGACTACTAGCCGCTCCTGGCTTCAGCCCATTCACTACCGCAGTTCAGAACTCAGAATTGTTTCTCCTCCGCACGCGCTCGAGTTGCGCGGGGGGTGCGGTGGCGCGCAGGGGGGAGCTGCGCTGAGCGGAGCAGCGCGGCTGATGACGTCAGCTGCTTGCGGGCAAGCGAGCAGCAGTCGCGGTAGCGTGGGATTGGGGGGGGATGAGCGACGGGGTTTGCAAGGGGGAGCGCGAGGGGGAGCACAAGTGGGAGCGCAGAGAGAAGAGCAGCAATCAGGGCGGCAGGTTGGTGTCAGCACGGAGGTGGGAGGGAAGGGGGAGGAGGCTAGCAAGGGACGCGAGACAAGAGAGACAAGCCAGAGCAGAGAGAGAAGAGCGAGCGGAGAGAGTGGGGAGAGAGGAGGCAAGTCCAGCAGGCAGTGGCGGCGGCTGTGCTACTACCACACTCAAGGGAAGTGCACTCTCAGCGCGGACAAAGACCACCTGAAAAGGTTCTCGCACGACCTGCCCGACCTGTCGATGCGGGCGGGGCAGCTGAAAAGGGTGCGAAAGCAGGCGTTTGAGTACTTCCTGGTGCTGGACCTGGAGGGGCGCGTGGAGATCCTCGAGTTCCCCGTCGTGCTGCTCTGCGCTCGCTCCCTGCAAGTCGTCAGCCACTTCCACCGGTACGTGCGATGCTCAGGATCACCACACTGACATTGTGCAACCAACCATGCGGCAATGCACCCATACACCCATGCACGCACTTCAGCCGAGCTCCTACCGCTCGCACATCCTTTTCAGCAAGAACCTGTCTGCTGCTGCGAGTCCCATCCGCCCTCCTCCCATCGACTCTCAGTGGCGAACCTCACATCTCTCCATGTTTCGCCCTGCATGCTCCCCCTCGCCCTGCAGCTTTGTGCGCCCTGACCTCATGACAGAGGAACGGCAGGCGGAGTACATCGGAGGGAAGTACGGGCCGTGGGGACTGGCCAGGTGAGCACTGCACTGCAGTGCACTGTCTGCACATCGCATGCGCATCGCTGCAACGTCGCTGTACTCTTACCACATCACAATGGTCCTCGTGCCTGCCCTTGCCGTCGCCCAACAAGCACCACCACTGTGGTCACTTGGAAACGTTTGGCTTCACCTTCACTTGCTTCTCCATCTCTGCCTCTCCTCCCTCATTCCCCTTCCCTTCACACGCGCTCTTCCATTTCTTCCCTCCTCTCCCTTGTGAGTGACTCCATGAACCCCCTCCTGCTGTGTCTCTGTGTTCACCAGGGTGTGGCATGACACTGCCATCCCGTTCGCTCAAGTGCTGGCGGAGTTTGAGCAGTGGCTGGAGCAGCACAACCTGCTGGATCACAGTAGCACCACTTCCACCACCACCTGGAGTGCGGAGGATGCTGTGGAAGCGGGTAGAACGGAGGAGGAGGAGCGTGATGGTGCTGCAGCATCAGCATCAGCATCAGCAGCGGCAGCAGCAGCAGCACAAGCGCTGGGCCATGGGCCGGGGTTATGGTCGGCGATAGTGGTGACATGTGGCAACTGGGATGTGAAGAGCAAGATAGTGGAGCAGTGCCGTGACAGCCAGGTGCCGCTGCCCACCTACTTCCTGCAGTGGACCAACCTCAAGGACGTGTATCTCAACTTCTACAAGCGCAAGGTGTGTCACTGCCCCACTGCGCACGAGTTGAGGTCAGTGAGGTCAGGCTTGTGGGTTTCGTGAAGCTCGTCTACTTCAACGTTCTCCTCCCGCCTGCGGGATTTGTGAGGCTAACCTTCTTACGCCCTTCTGTTTACTGCTGATCCATCCACCTGTTGGACCGGTCGTCCCGATGCTCTCTCTTGCCTTTTTCCTCCACAATGCGCCAATGTTTATCGACGTCAACGATGCTTCTATTCCACGGGGCATGTCATCGCATCCCATGGCATGCCATGGGATGGCGTGGCATTGCATGGCGTGGCATGGCATGGCATGACGTAGCGTGGCATGGCATGGCATAGTGTGGCATGGCATGGCGTGGCGTGGCATGGCATGGCGTGGCGTGGCATGGCATGGCATGGCATGGCATGGCATGGCATGACGTGGTGTAGCGAGGCGTGGCGTGGCATGGCATGGCGTGGCGTGGCATGGCATGGCATGGCATGGCATGGCATGGCATGGCGTGACGTGGTGTAGCGAGGCGTGGCATGGCACCGCATGGCATGGCATGGCATGATGCCGCATGGCATGGCATGGCATGATGCCGCATGGCATGGCATGACACGGCATGGCATGGCATGACACTGCCTAGCATGGCATGACACCGCATGGCATGGCATGACACCGCATGGCATGGCATGGCATGACACCGCATGGCATGGCATGACGCCGCATGGCATGGCATGACATGCATGTCATGACACCGCATGGCATGGCATGGCACGGCATGGCATCGCATGACACCGCATGGCATGGCATGGCATGGCTTGGCACGGCATGGCATGGCATGGCACCGCATGGCATGGGATGGCATGGGATGGCATGACGCCTCATGGCATGGCATGACACGCATGGCATGGCACCGCATGGCATGGCATGGCTTGGCACGGCATGGCATGGCATGGCATGACACAGCATGACACCGCATGACACCGCATGGCATCTATGTTGCGCCTGACGCGTCAGGCGTTTTTTACGCTGGCGTCTGGACGGGGCGTCCAGACGCTTGACGCCCGGTGTCCTCTGCCCTGGACGCCCGCTTGACGCTAGTCCGGTGCTCCCAGAATCACGTGCGCGTGGCATGTTGAGGGTATTGTTGAGGCAACCCTATCACCTGCCCCCATGCCCACTTGACGCTAGTCCGCTGGTAGCAGCTAGGGTAATGGAGGCAATCCTATCACCTGCTCCCACTGCTGCCGCCACCTTCGTTGCTGAAGGTGAACAGCTGGGAGTACCGCGACCTGGCTGGCCTTGCGTGCCGGGCGCTTTCACAGCCTGTCTCCGCTTCACCATGCGAGCGCGGATGGTCCACGTGGGATGGCGTGCACACGGCGCGCAGGAACAGGTTGGGTTCGGAGAAGGTCCACGACCTTGTGTTCGTTGCGCACAACTGGAACGTTGTGCACAACCACCACAAGGGTGCGGCCGGTGCGGGGCCGAGTGGGGAAGTCAGGAAGGCGGGGATAGTGGAGGGGAACATTCCCCCCCTTCCCCTTCCTGAGGGGTACAAGCTTGAGGAGGATGGAGAGGTGGAGGTGGATGAGGATGACATCACCTTCAACGAGTACAAGGAGCAGGAGGACATGGAGAAGGAGGTTAAGGAGATGGAGAGCGAGGAGGTGGAGGATGAGTGATGCATGTTAGTGTTAGTATGCATGCTAAACCACCCTTGGACTAAATGTGATTATGGAAATTTTGCAACTCACCTTCATGCTTGAGTGTTGAGGTTGAAATTTTGTTTTTGCGGAGAAATTTTGCCATGAAAGTGTGCTACGGTCCCACCCCCCCCCCCCCCCCCCCCCCCCCCCCCTTCCCTCTGCCCTATAACTTTTTTTGGCTGCCCGGGGGTTTTTTTAGGCTGCCCGGACCTGCGTCTTTTGCTGCGTCCCGGGGGCCAGAAACTAGCGTCCAGCGTCTGGACGCATGCGTTCAGGACGCTGGACGCGTCTTTCTCCACGGGGGTCCGGGCAGGGCAAAACTTTTCCCGGGCAGGGGTAAAAAAAACCTGCCTAGTAAGGATACGCAGGGATTAGAATACAAGAAGTTAACCAAAAGTTATAAATACTCCAGACTAAGAGTTGACATAATTTCTTAATCGCCTTAACCTTATTTTAGCTTGGAAGGTTTAGTAGCGTGAATTGCGTATTCTAGTGTAAGGAATGCTTGGCAATGTCGAGAGAAACAGATCTGTGTAGTGTTGACCTAGATCTGGTTCTCTAGTTTAGTTCGGGGTCGACCTGGTTGGGAGAAGTAGATGTGGATGGGTACAAGTGTGTGGGGGGGAATAAATGTGGGTTGTGTTTTTTAGGTAAAAAATGCAACCCCCAGTTGGCGATCTCATCGCAATTCTGGTCGCGATGAAATCGCGAGTAAATTTCGTGCGGGGATTTTTTTTTTCGGGCTGCCCGATTTTTTTTTCCCCGAACGTCCAGCGTCAAACCGATTTGACGCGTCCAGCGTCCGGATGTGAACGTCCGGACGCTGGACGCTGCCCTTCCAGAGCGTCAGGCGCAACATAGCATGGCATGGCATGGCATGGCATTGCATGGCATGACACGGCATGACACTGCATGACACCGCATGGCATGGCATGGCATGGCATTGCATGGCATGACACGGCATGACACTGCATGACACCGCATGGCATGGCATGGCATGGCATGGCATGGCATGGTACGGCATGACACCGCATGGCATGGCATGGCATGGCACGGCATGACACCGCATGGCATGGCATGCGCAGGCATCGGGCATGATGCCAATGATGAAGGGGCTGCAGATGGCGCCCCTGGGCACGCACCACGTGGGGCTGGACGACGCACTCAACATCACGCGGGTGCTGCAGCGCATGCTCTCCCACGGCGCCCTCATCCGTGCCTCCGCTCGCCGTGTTGGCCCGGGACCCTCCGATGTGGAGTATGCGTTCAAGAGGAGAGTCAAGTGAGGGGGCTGCTCGGTTGCTGCTTCCACGCACTCTAGTCGCCCCAGGGCGCGACAATAGGAGTGGATGGTGGTGTGGCAGTGATGGTGTGAGTCACAGTTTAAGGGGGATGCTGTGCTACGTGGGATGGCATGTGCAGGCTATGCCCAGGGTGATGGGTCGGGTGGAAGGAGTGGAGTGGCGGCGGTGTGATGGTGTGCAAGCAAGTGAAGAGTTGCCTTCATTTTTGTCCCAATTCTATCAGGGGAAGTTGTCATGTACCGTCATCGCCCGGATATAAGACATATATGTCTTATCTCATACAGTAGAAAGAATGCTTGGGTTAACTTGTATTTGGGGAGGTTTTGGGTGTCTTATAATTCTTATAAATGGAAACTTTTTAAACTACTTAGAATCTTTTTTACACTTCTTGAAAAGAGTTTCTCGTTATGAGTGTGGATGTTGCTCTCAAATGTTGTTTTACATGTTTGTTAGAATTGTAGCCTAAGTAGGGTTCACAGTAGGGGGTACATAACTTTTCTCGACTCTTGCCTTGTACTCCCCTCTCCCTTACTACCAATCATTCCGCTATGTAACTTCTGAGATGGTATCATGAGGTTGACTCCTAGGCCTTTTAGTCCTAGTTAGTCCATCGAGTCTATTAAGGCCCCGCCCCTCCCCATTCTGTCGCGCTTAGGCAGGCCACCGTGGCCCGTTTTTCCCCGCGCGCTTTAACGGGTCGTCGTGCTTAGACAGGCCGTCGCGCTTAGGCAGGCTCGTCACGTTTAGGCAGGCCGTCGCAGTAGTGCGCCACTGCACGCCACGCCACTGGGCCCCGTATAGCCGCGATTGGTAGGCCCCCAAGGGCCCGTTCTGCCACGTCCTGCCAGCCCGCGCGCACGCACAGCCGCCACGCACGCACAGGCCACGCGCGCACGCGCAGCAGCCGCGCACGCAGCAACGCACGCCTGCTTTGCGCTCAGCCGCCAGCACCAGCAGCAGCGCAAGCGCCCGCAACCGCCAGCAGCATCAGCAATGCTAGTGCCTGCAGCCGCCAGCAGCAGCAGCACTGCTAGCGCCTGCAGCCGCCAGCAGTAGCAGCACTGCTAGCGCCTGCAGCCGCCAGCAGCAGCCACACTGCTAGCGTCCGCAGCCGCCAGCGGCAGCAGCTACCGCCGCCCAGTCAAGCTCGCACGTTCCAGCACTGCGCGTCCTAGCACTTGCAGCGCGCATTATGAACTGCCACACCACCCCACCCAGCAGCGGGCTCTTCCCCCTCCACCGTTGCTGTGCTCGCGCTTTGAGACGATTTTCCTGCCATAGGCATCTTCCACGGCGGCTGGCAGCCGCTCTTCTCTCCGTTTGCTGGAGTAGGTTTTTTGGTCTCCTCCTAAACTAGGTTTCTGACCGACGTTTTTCAAACCTGGCGCTCCAAGCTCCGCTCACTCCAAGCTTCGCTCGTCTGTAGCTCGACGCTTCTAACTCCGGCCGCTCTTAGCCTGGCCACTCCTAGCTCCGGTCGCGCCTAGCCTGGCCACTCCTAGCTCCAGCCACTCCTCTCCTGGCCGCTCCTAGCTTCAGTTGCTCCTAACACGACCGCTCCTAGCTGTTACTATGGAGTCCTCCCGCCGCCTACGTTTTGATGCGGAGTGCCATCCTATCGACTTTAGTACGTGGCTCCGCCAGGCTCAGCGCCACCTTACTAGTCAGCGCCAGGACGGTGCCACCTTGTACGCCCACGCGTCTGGCACGCTCCGGGCCCCTGCACGCCCCGACCCTTTGCCTACTGAGCCTGCTCCCACTTCCGAGGCGCAGGCGGACTACGACCGGCGTTTCCTGGCACGTGACGTCTGGGACTCTCGCGACGCTGCCGCCGCTCTCGCGCTGACGGACCTTCTCCCACCGACTAAGGCCGTTCACTTCTCCTAGGTCGAGACTGGGAAATGGTCGTTATGATGCTATCGTTGCGCATTATTCCACCCCTTCCTTTGCCTCCCTTAGCCGCCTCCTCATGCCTTTTGCGTTTCCTGACCTTGGGTCGTTTGCGACTGTCTCCGAACTTGCCACTCACCTGCGTTCCCTCGACACTAGCTACCGTGCAGCCTGCACTGAGGCTCAGCTTCTGCTTGCCCCCCCTCCTATGTGGCTCACCGTGCAATGGTTAGTCACTCGCCTCCCTGACCGCCTCTCCTCTGCCCGTGACGTGCTTCTTGAGAAGCACCCCAGTGAGCTTACGATCGATCTTCTTGAGACCACTCTCTCGAAGATCGAAAGTAACCTCCTCTCCGTTGCCTCTGCCACTGACGTAGTAGCTCCCCGTCTCTTTGAGGGGTGTGCTGTTCCTCAGCTTCCCACCTTCACTGCTACTCGTGCCACTGCTGCGGTGTCTGTCTCTGATAAGACTGCAGGTATTTCTGCCGTTGGTTGGCAGAAACGGGGCAAGGGTGGCAAGAAGGGGGGGAAGAGGGGTGGTGGCGGTGGAGGTGGAGGAGGTGGAGTTGGGAGTGGCAGTGGTGGCAGCGGAGGCGGTACTGGTGCTCCTGGAGGAGGAGACCCTGAAGGCGGTCCTGGACAGGCGGGCCCATCGGGTGGAGTTGTTGCCGCGAGCGGTGGTTCGGGAGCTCAGTAGCAGCAGTCACAGCAGCAGCAGCCACAGCAAGGACAGCAGCAGCAGTAGCAGCAGCAGCAGCAGCAAGGACAGCAGCAGCGGCAGGTGCCGCAGCAGGTTCAGCCGTGGGGGCCCCCGCAGTAGTGGGGTCCGCAGCAGCACTGGGGCCCCTCGCAGCAGTGGGGACCTGGAGGACCAGGGAGCACTGGCCACAGCGGCAGCTCTGCCAGCTGGGGCCCCCGCCCCCCTGGGCGCGACTTCGTCCCCTACGACTACTGGATCCTCATGGGACCAGGTAGTCCTTGTGTCTGTGGGCGCGGTGATCACTCTACAGCGCGGTGCTTCCGCCGCCTCGACGACCTCTACCGTGCGTGTCACGGTCACGCGGGACGTACCCTGCGCTGAGCACAATTGCTTGGCTGTAAGATTCCTGCATTTGAACTGTCTAGGGCAGAGTGAAGCACATGAGGCTCGTCAGTATGCTTTGTATGCTGATGTTGATTATAGTGCTGATGAATATGTTTGTTCGCGTGTTCTTAGACTAGGATCATTGCTTGTTGCTAGTGTAGACTTTTGTCTTTCTAGTCTAGGTGCTTGTGTTGCTGCACTAGGTGCGTGTGTAGCTACCAGACCAGGTGCACCTCCGGCTGAGGCGTCCCTGTCCTTCACGCTGGACTCTGACGCGTCTCAGTGCTTTTTTCACGACCACACGATGCTCACACCGCTCCTTGCTCCTATTCCGGTAGCTCTGGCTGATCCTTCCTCAGGACCAGCCGTTGCGCGCAGCTCCACCACCCTCCCGTGCCCTGTGGTCCCCTCTAGTGTTCTACGCAGTCTCCACATCCCCTCGTTCACTCGAAACTTGGTGGGTGTTGGATACCTCCAGGACAAAGGGATCACTGTTACCTTTATGGGGGGTGAGAGGACTGCAGTCTGTACGGACGCCATCACCGGTGCTGTTTTGGCCACGTTCACCAGGGAGCCCCGCTCCGGCCTCTACGTTCTCCACACCGAGCGCTCCCTGGTTGCTTCCTCCGCTCAGGTCGCTGCGTCCCTTCCGGTCCCAGTGTCTAGTCCGGTTGCTTTGTCTGGTCAGGTAGTGGTGTCTGGTCAGGTTGCTGCGTCTTGCTCCTATCGGTCCCTAGTCCACTCGGCCGTCTTATGGCACCACCGCCTTGGCCACCCGTCGCTCCCCCGCCTCCGCAGCATGGCCAGTCACATTCTTGTCTCCGGTCTTTGTATTGTCTCCGGTCTCCCGCGCATCTTTCCGTCGCTCCCTCCCTCGATTGCTCCACATTGCACTCCTTACGTCGCCGGCCGCCTGCGCGCCACTCCGCACTCCTCCTCCCTTCGTCCGGCCACTGCTCCTTTCCAGACTCTCCACCTAGACGTCTGAGGCCCTGCCCCTACGCTGGGACCCGAGAGGGAGCGCTACTTTCTAGTGGTCGTTGACGACTACTCCAGGTACACCACGGTGTTTCCTCTTGCGAAGAAGTCCGAGGTGACTTCTACGCTGATCCGGTGGCTTCTTGCCACTGAGGGCACTCGTGGTAGTCGTGTCCGTTGTCTCCACTCCGACCGTAGGGGTGAGTTTCGCTCCGGCGTCCTTGCCGGGTTCTACGGCGAGCAGGGCATCAGACAGTCCTGGACGCTGCCGGAGTCCCCACAGCCGAATGGGGTTGCTGAGCGCCGCATTAGCTTGGTCATCGACATCGCCCACATGTCCATGATCCATGCTCGTGCGCCCCATTTTCTGTGGCCCTATGCGCTGCGCTACGTCGCGCACCAGCTGAACCTCCAGCCGCGTGTCTCGTGGCCAGAGGTTTCACCGACCAGTCTTTGGACCGGGTCCCCTGGTGTTGGGCCGCCATTTCACGTCTGGGGCTGCCTTGCGCTTGTCCGGGACACCTTTGCAGACAAGCTGTCGGCTCGCGCCATCCCCTGTGACTTGGTTTCCCGGTGGGCTCTCCCGACTACTCTTTTCACCACTTGGCCCTCCACCAGTTTCTAACTCTCGTGACGTCCGGTTTGACGAGTCAGTGTCCTACACCCGGTACCCCTGTTGAGGTCTCCCGGTTCCCCCTCCCCCCCTCTTCCTCGCACCCTCTCCTCCCCCTGCTCCCGCTCCTCCGGTACCCCCCCCCCCCCGTCCTGCCCCGTAAGGTGTGTCTCACGCTACCCCTCTACCCTCGGTCGTACGTTAGGTAGCGTCTCCCTCCCCGCAGTTCTCCTCACAGTCCCTTCAGCAGCTTTCGGCACTTCTGCGACATGTTACTGTGGACTCCGAGGGTGTTGGAGATAGAGGTGCTGCCATTGGAGGTACTCGTTCTGGGGGTGCTCTTTTGAGGGGTGGTGGAGCTGGAGGTACTGGCACTGGAGGTGCTAGTTTGGGGGGTGCTGGAGTTGGAGGTGCTGG